TTTTTTTTTTTTTTTTAATATGACCAATCACTCAAGGGGATGATGTCTCCCTGTGTATACATAATATCGTAGGGGGTCGGAAAGAACTGAGGAAGGATAAAGAGACAGAAAAGTAGTCCCAGCTTAGTGAGTGTTTGTCCAATAGGTAAGTGTTCCGTCTTTATTGATACAGCTACGACTATAATAAAGTCTACTGCACTGATATTTGAATCCGCGTTCACCAATTTGTTAGCCGTTATTCTTAGTTATTCGGCTGCTCGAGCGGATATTCGAATATGTAAACGAAAAACTTTGTGCAAATTTTTCATTGTAAACGACTTTAGGACCGCGTAACTTAAATAATACTAGATTTGATAGTACCAAAATGTTATGTGACGTCCAAGATAATATGATTTCTATCGATAATTAGAAAAAACAAAACATTGCGAAAAAAGAATAGCTTCATACACATATCGTTTCAATCAATAGTATGCGAATGGTATACCCGTTTGCACTCTGAAAATTGCGACTATAAATATGCGCGATGCTCTGATCGACTCATCCTTGATAAAGTCGAACGCATTTCTTAAACGTATCGGACTTGATTGAAATGAAAAATTGAAAGACCGGCAGCTACTATCTTATGAGATCGTCGCGAAGCTAGATAATGACCACAATGGAGTTTAGATAACTTTGCTGCAACCTGGCCAAGATGTTGATCTATTCTCATTCGCAGGCGCTCAATAAAAGACTCGTCATCTTTTATCGGGTGAATATCCGGCTACACATATTTTTAATATATCGGGAAAAAATGAAGAGAGTTTGGTTGGGAGGTTTGGATGAAGTTTGTTAAACTACCGTTAAGATCACTATTTGCAGAACTCTCCTAATGATGTACAGCTGACTTGTAAAGGATCGCCTGTGAAAACTATTCGTTTCATATTTTCACATACAAATCCCGGAAGTTCTACTGTGGCCCAATAACTTTAAGGCAAAAAAAAAAAATTCGACTAGATTCTCCTTGAACTGATTCCATATATTTATATCTTCTTTTCATGATAGCCATTAATCTGTGCCGTGTGCACATGGGTAATCTTATGGCATATACCAAATATAAAGATTGTTTGAAAAAGATGTCTAGAATGTGTTCAAGGCCTAATCATGTCATTATATCCCTTATCTTATCTTGGTTGAAGTATACGGTACGTTGCAAATGAAATGCTCGACGTAATGCACCAGCGTTGAGTGCGTGAATTGGAAAACGCGGTAAAGTAGTAAAGTGTAAATTCACACGTACAAAAGTATACATTCAAAGTTAATAGGTACATAAACTTATCTGACGGTAGCTCTAATATTTTTTTTCGATATTGTTAAGTTTTTCCTTTTTTTTTCTTTCTTTTTTCTTTCTCTTTACTATATATATATATATATATATATATATATATGTGTTTATGTATTATGCACATGTGCGGTTTAGTTCCTTGCTGCAGATCGCGTGTTAAGGTATTACAGACTTTACTCACATACATATATATATGTGTTATATTGTAGGTTTTTTTTATAGAGGCAAGCATATAGTCGGTCGGCGGCGAATGAAATTCAAGTTATGATTATGTAAACACGATGAGGGGGTAATGTCGACAATACGGTGAGAAAAAACTAATTAATCCCGGTACCAAATGGTTGGTTGAACACCTAGCTTCCTAAAATAATCACGTTTAAGCGAATACTTTAGCCATTGATCATCACTGTGAGGGCCTTTGCCGTTGCCGTTGGAGCATAGTTTAAATTCATTGAAAATTTATTTCGCTTTTCGTTTTATTTTCATATATTTTTCTTATCTACTAAACAAATTGAATTCTCATTTATATATATATAAAGAGGATTTTACTTACTATTAGTAAGTAAAACATAAAAACATAACCATATACATACACATCTATATGCGAGCATATTATATCATATACAACATATATATATATATTTACATGTAAAGGATGTTGTACGTACATGTGTAAGGTTAAAAAAAAAAAAAAAAAATTAAATTTTTTTTTTAATTTTTGGTTTGAGTTTTTTTTTTTTTTTTATTTGAATCTGTTTTCCTGTTAAAAAGAAATTATTGTGTTTAAGTGTGCAAGTATGTATGTATGTATGTATGTACGAACGAACGTATTTGCTTTAGTTGAATAACTAACTAATTCATTAAAGCTAATAAGTAATTAACTGAAATGTTATGCAAATAAGAGAAGAAAGAATTTAATTGCATGCACATAAATATGTATGCATTTATGGATGAATGCTTGTATGTATATTACATATGTATGCAAAAAATACAGAAGACACGCTAAAAAGGTATCTATTTCCATAACGTTAATTAGATGAAAACATAACATGCATTTATATGTGCAATAAAAAAAGTTTTCATTTCGTAATTTATTTTTCAACTAATATGAAAACTGCCTCTATTGACTCATAAATGTATATGAACGCTGAAGACACTTAAATAAATCGCAGATTGCCCGATAGTGAATTATTGTTGCATATACTCGCTCGTGAAGATCGCTTTTGATCTTAGTGGAAAAATGCAAATCAAATAATTGGAGTAAGTGAATGCAAAACGTTATGGAATTCGTGCAACGATCGTCGAAGATCATCAGTAAATCCCTTGCGTTTATTGTGAAGCAAAACATTCGTGTCTTAAATGCATGACACGAAAGCAAATAGAATTAAATAGTTTTCATTTTCGAGCTCAATTTCTGCTATGGATTTTTTTTTGTTCTTGTCTTGTAAGTTTGCTGAGATTTGAGATAGAGATCATCAAAGGTTTAAACTCTGCTTGAAACGTCTTGGATGGTCGAATACCACCAAATGCTGTAAATCATAAACAAGTTAATATCTTTATGTTATACCCTGCAACACAGGTGGTGCTGTGCTGCACCTAGCTGCAGCTCGGCACCTTAGCGCTGCATCTGGCGACTAAGTCGGACATAATAGACTCTTGTACTATATCTATTGAAGGAGATAGCGAAGAGATATTAAACAACCAATAGCGCAATTTATCATGAAGGAGCACTTGCTTCTAACTTCTAATTGCTAATGTTGTATTAATTACACTACTTAACACTGACTTAGTCAGTTATTTTTGCATTTTTATTGATCAGCGGTCGTAAAATTAGTGCTTGTGTTTTGCTTATCCAGGTCTGAGTCATTTGTTATCAAATAACGTGTTCCGAAACGAAAGTGGCAATAATAAAATTGGTCGATATCAATTTTACACTAACACAAGCTTCTTAGCTTAGGAAAATCATAAATGGAATCGTTAAAAAAGCAGCAAATAGAAGGCCGCTCAGAATAGGGCGGATGGTCATAACTCATCCACAATATATAATAACGATGCGTTGAAAAATTCGTTAGCCCTATGAAAAGCTTTTGCTTAGTTAATTAGTTGGTGAAAGTAACTGTTAGGGCCATTACCTAGTTCCGTTAATAAGTGGCGTTTATCGTTTTACTATGTCTATAATGCAAGATTTGGTAAGTAAGAAGTTCTAAGCCTTGAAAATTAGACCAAGAGAAAGACGAATTTAAATCAGATGTTACATCTATGTGGATTATTGATAAAAAAAATTAAAATTAAAAACAATAACGGGCCGCAGTCCACCACCAGCTGAGCGCTGCACTTAGGTAGATGCAGCGCTGCAATTAAGTGGATGCAGCGCTGCACTTAGCCGAATGCAGCGCTGCACATAACTGAATGCAGCGCTGCACTTATATGGTTGCAGCGCTGCACATAACTAAATGCAGCGCTGCAATTAGGTGGATGCAGCGCTGCACATAACTGAACGCAGCGCTGCACTTAGCTGGATAGTGACTCAAACCTGGATTCGAAAGCGCTATGAAAAGCTTTTGCTTAGTTAATTAGTTGGTGAAAGTAACTGTTAGGGCCATTACATAGTTCCGTTAATAAGTGGCGTTTATCGTTTTACTATGT